GGTCAGGGATGGGAGCAGGGTAACCCCACCGTATAGAGAGTCATTGCCTGGATGCCAGGGCTACAGTAGGACTTCTGGGAGGTTTACAACTTTGGTGAAGGGAGGAAAGAACGGGGGAGTGAAGGACAGAGACAGTGAGCAGTGGATAAATCCTGCTGAACCTATCCTTGTGTTCTTTATACTGAAGATTCCAAGAGAAGAGGGAAATTCTGCCTATTTTTCAAATTAGGGTAGTAGCCCCTCAACATAGGTGAGGGGTGGTGCTCTAAGCAGCCAGCCCTGGCCAAACCCAGATAATGGGAGTTATCTTCTGCTGGCATCTCCAGTGCTGTTCACAAAGGGTTCAAAAAAGTTGCTGGTGGTAGGGCCTGGGGAGTGGAGAAATGGCAGAAACAGGAAGCTACCCTGGCCAATGTGCTCAATGATAGCAGCTTTCTTTCAGATTTACATTCCCAATCTATGAGAAGACTCACTCTGTTGCTCATGACCTACACTACATCTACAGACTGCTTTGTTTGTTTGTTTTTCTGGCACGAGAGGAACTAAGTGTCTAGGGATCTTGTCAAAATTGTGAAAATAATCCTAGTACCTCTCAATTGTTAAAATATTAAACAATGATTTGAATATTCAGTAAAGCCCTGAACTTCAAAGGTCAACCGTTTTTGTCTCACTCTTCATTTCCTTCCTTGGAATGTGTTTCAAAACAATCCTGTCCTCCCAGACTCACAGTCAAGGACACATTCCTGACCCAAATCACTAGCTTCTGCCATCTTCCTACGTCACCCTGCAGGTTGCTGCAGAACCTCCCTTGCTCCTTTAAGGCTAAATCTGAGACTTGTGGGTCTGAGCAAGAAGGGTATTGTATAGACTGAGGCATCTCAATCATGGTAGCTGTCATTCTGGGTCACAGGGAAGCTGGCCTTGATAGGAGTTCCAAGCTGTGACCACAGCTAGAAGCAAAGTTAGGATCAAGATGGAGGTGGTGGCCTGGGCGAATGCATGAGCAGAGGGGCTCTTCCTTTCTGCAACTCCGCTGCAGTTAGTCCTTACTTCTTACCTTGATCCAAGGTTACTTCTGGCCTTGGAAACTTGGTTGAAGAATGATATGGAGGACCAGCTATAAGTTTTTTTTACTGCTACACTAATGTGCTCATTGCCTTGCCTCAGTGGGAGCCCCATTTCTTCAGATCATAACATCTTATTACTTGGATCCTTGCATAAAGTCTGGCTTTTTGTCCTTTCCTCACCCAGGCTGGGGTTCTAGCCCAGTGAACCCTTGTGTCCTAGCTTGGCGTCCTAATCTTGGTGTCTGGATTTTCTTTGTCCAGGTCTGAGTTTTCTTACCTAGAAAATTCATGCCAAGACTCAACCTTCTGTCTCCTCCAAAACACTAGTTCCATGTGGGACTTTGTTCTCTGTTCTCTTTGCCTTGCACTCTGCCAGGGCTCTAACCTATTGCCTGATTTTGGAATCATGCCATGAGCCCCATTCCTAGGAAAACCATGACACAAGAGTTCAAAAGAACAAAAGGGTAGCTAGTTGTCTCCAACATACATATGTACACACAGACTGATAGCCTCATAGTCCTCTGATCTTTAGAGACAGCACTGCTTACCTCTGATTTGAAGATTTAACTAGATAGGAGCTCAAAAGGCAACTGAACCCCAAGTCAGAGGAAAGGTGAGGTTGCTTGCTGTCAAAGCTGGGCCGATTTCAGGATCAGCCGTCACCTCAACTGTGACTTGGGGCCATGATCCTTGCCTTCATGCCTGTCTTTACCCTAGGGTAATGCTTATAGCAGCTAGCACTATATTTCCTCATCTAACTGCTTATTTACTGTCTTCCTCCCAATAAATGGAGGTTCCATCAAGGCCAGGCTTCCAGTCCATTCACTGCTGTGTTCTGGTGACTACAACAGTTCTGTTCCCATGATACCCATTCGCTAAGTATCTGTTGGATGAATTAATGAATACACTCGATTCCCACTTCAGGCATCTTTCTGGCATCCAGTGTAAATATTCAAATGCCTATCAGTCAGCTCCACACTGACATGAAAATTGAACATGTCCCAGATGGGTCTCATCGTCTTCCTGACCCCCGCAGGACCTGCTGTCCTCTGACATCTACATCTCAACAGGGCCACAGCTGTCCTCTTCTCTTCACTCCAACATCTACCCAGGTGCCAACTGCTCTTGGCCCTAACTCCAAGAACCCAAGGGCCTGTGGAATACTTACTTCTCCTGCTGTCCCACCTGCCTTTTCCAGTGCGCATCACCACCTTCAGCCTCCAACACGCTTCCCTGCTGTCTTTCTGGACACCTGGGTGAACTCTATCCCATGTCTTATCTTGGCCTCCTTCTTCCTAGATCACCTCAGGGGCTCCCTATCACCCTGCAATAATAACAGTGTGCAAGAGCCTTCATGGCCTGGTTTTGCTTAACTTTGTTAGTTTTTTCCTTCCAGAGTTTTTCAAGTGGTATCTGCTTTGAATAAAAATGCCTCTGCCTGGCTGCCATTTACTATTCTTCAGGTACCAGCTTCAATGTTCCTTCTTCCAAGAAACCCTCTGTAGCGTTCCGATGCTTTCAGGGCCCCACCTCCTTTCCTCACCCTGACCATGCCATATTATACTGACTTTCGCTTGTTCTTAGCTCTGAGGAGAAAAGACCACAGTGACTTACCAAGTCCGCACATTTTTGCATGTTAGTGTGATTGTGTGTGGTGGGGGTACTAGGAATAAAATCCAGGGCTTTGCACTGAGCTACTGTACCTTTTTATTTTTTTATTTTGAGACAAGATCTTGTTAAGTTGCCCAGTCTGGGGTTAGACTTGTGATCCTTTTGCCTCCGCCTCCCAGACTGCTAGGATTACAGGTGTTCATCGTCAAGGCCTGCTTAGTCCCACTTTGATGTCTGCTTCTTGCAGGAGTTGAGTTAACTGTTTCTCCCTCATTTGAGGTTTAATCTTCCTGATAACAGACTCCCAACAGGATCATGTTTCCCAGAGAAAGGACATCCCCAATTATGGAGCAGTCGGCAGTGATTTCTTCTAGAGTAGTATCCAAATCATAGTGAAAAATGAAAAGGAAGGAGGCTCTGACAGCCTCATTTTAACTTGGAGGGGTTTACCTTAAATGTTGTGGTTCTCATCTTGAATATTCCCCAAATACTCCTGTGTTGAAGTCTTGTTCTGCAGAACACTGTTCAGAGGTGGAGCCTTTAGGATATGACTGTAGTCATTGCTCAGTGTGTTTTGGAGAAGTTCACTTATAGAAGTGAGCTCTCTGTCTGTTTCCAGCCATCATGAGCCAAGTATCTTGCTCTACAACACATTCCCCATCATGATGTTCTGCCTCACACAGGCACAGAACAGCGGAGCCAGCCAGCCATGGACTGGAACCTCTGAAATCGTGTGCCAAAATAACCCTCTCTTAGCCAGGCATGGTGGTGCATGCCTGTAATCCCAGCACTTGAGAGGCTGAGGCAAGAGGATCACTGTAAGTTCGAGACCAGCCTGGGCTACATAGTGAGCTCCAGGTCAGTGTCAACTACATAGTGAGACCCTGTCTCAAAATATAAAAAAATAAATAACAAATAAAAATAAATAACCCTCTCCTCCTTGAAGTGACTTTTAAAAAGATACCTTGTCACACTAATGGAAAGCTGATTACAGTTATAAACAGTTTAATCCACAGCCATGTAGGCCTTGTTTCCACAACAAGAGGTTGGTCCGAGTAAGCTCAGGGAAGGCTAAAGCCTTGCTTTTCGAAGCACCCTTTCTGCAAGGCCCATGGCATCCACCCCAGGGAGCTGATGAACATATTAACATATACCGAATAAGTGAAGGAGAAGTTACATGGAAATTGTATGGTTTCTTTCAGAGTCCACGTATGTAATGGCTCACTGAGAGTCTGAATTAGAATATGTGACAAACAGGCATCCAGGGTTCTTGAGCTTTGGTTTTGCTATTAGGAGATGGACATATGAGTATCAAAGTGTTCCCTTAAGCTCAGAAAAATAATTCCTGAGGAAAAAAATATAAGTGGGAATCTGGACAAGTGAAGGATGTAGCCAATTGGGGGAATACTAAAAAGATGAGCTACTCAGTAGCAAATTATTAGCCTTAAAAGCTCAGCATAATCTTAAGGAACAAAACCTTCCTCCTTCATTTGATTTATTTATTTATTTTGGTACCAGGGATCAAACTCAGGACCTTGTGCATATGAGGCAGGGGTGGTGCCACTGAGCTAAATCCCTGGCCTCCCTCCTTCATTTTAAAGTTTGCAAGCTACTCCAACACAGAAGGCTCCCATAGTAACAAAACATGAGTCATACATGGAATAAAAGGAGGCAAAAGGCATCCTAGCTCACGTTGATTGGCAAAGTAGGGCTTTTCTTCTTTTCCTTAACTATTCCATCACTGAAGCTCTACCCCAAAGTCCTACCTTCTACCCCTTTGTCCAACATGAATTGTAAAGTCTCTGTATTTCCATTTCCCTCAGTAGCAAACTTTTTTTTGTTTTTGTTTGATTGGAACTAGAAATATGTTAGGCTTTCTTCCAAAAGACCAGAAAGCCAAGAGACGTGTTCTAGAGATGTCTTTGTCACTGCTCAGTGCAGAGTGCCCATGAACTCCTGCAAAGGTGAATGCCCACTGTCTTGGGCTGATGAGCTACTCCACATGTGGGCCAAGACAGCCTATTAAATTCCAATCCCCACCAAGTCATTACAGCTCTTCACCCTCCTGGCCATCAGATTAAGTCAGGGCACAGTTAAATTGGGTGCCACGCCTCAATGCCTTATTGATTCCTATTAGGAACTATATCCCCTACACTTTTTTAGAGGTATGAGCAGAACCTACAAATTCATAAACTAATATACTTTTTTGGATTTTCGCTTTTCTGGGGGAGTGGTAATTTGGCTTATGTCTTATGATTTTTTTTTTCCCAGTGTGCCCATGGGGCTTGGGGTACCTCTATCCTATGGCTCATTTTACCATACCTCCGGTCCGTGGGGTACAGTTCTACAGTGACCACGTCGAGAGAGTTCCAGGCCGAGATGGTCAGCCCATTGTACAGACACAGCATGCCGATCATCATGGATTCGCTGGTGCCAAACCACAGGAAGAAGCAGCTGATCCCAGAGAGGACCATCGAGCCACCTGCCAATGGTGCAGACAAAGGCTGAGTTTTTTGTTATTTTATTTTATTTTATTTTATTTTTTTGCATCTCCAGGGGGTGAGGCCCCTTAGGCCTTTGAGGACTCTCAGGAAAACTGACATCCACAGAGCAGCTGCAGCCTGAGTTGCATAAAGCTCAAGTGCCAGCATGTTCACCTGTGTGACAGGTTGCCTGGGCAGCTTCTGAGCATAGCGAGCAGGCAGCTCCCATTATCCATTTCTCAGATGGTTAAGTGGAAAGATAGACATTAGTTACACATAATTAGCTTTTCAGTCTGTTAAATCATGGAAATGGCACAAATGAATTATAATTAGACATCATTTCCACTACAGTTTAATTCAAATGAAAGGTCCTCCTGGACTTAAGATCTCAGAGGGCAGAGAGCCTGCAGGGAGGCAGGGGCAGGGCTCTTTCCTCAAGGAAGGCTGAGCACTTACCTAGCATGGTTAAGCGCCCGATTCTGTCCATAAGCAGAGCGGACACAATGTTCCCTGGAAGCACTGCCAGTGTCCCCAGGAAATTGACGAAATAGATCCAGTAGGCACTGTAGTCGTCATCAAAGGTAATCTGGCACCCAGTCTTGTTGTGAGAAAACGAGCAGTTCTGAAATTCACTGTTAATGAATTTGTATGGCTCAAAATCTGGAGGAACAACAAAGAGAGTGATGAAGATCTTAGCAGGTGTAAGTAACAGGTCTCAGGATCAGAAGGCCTACTGCAAGTCCAGAAGCGTTGTCATGGGAAATTCCTTGAGGACCTCGGGGCCTGGGCTGGCTGCACTTTTTGTCTTGTTCTGGCCAGAGCATGAGGTCTACTTCTGAACTTCATGCTACAAAGTAGCAGAAGGAAGGGATAACTTTGTTGAATGAAGAAATAAATAAAGTTAAAGAGTTGAAGCAATATACTTTAGTGTAATTATCAAGTTATATAAAGGTCATTGTTATAGTACTAAAAGCTTTCACACTATTTGTATCAAAACAATTTGTTCTAAAATACCATGCATAGATCTTATCATTGCTCAGAGAAGGAGCAGGGCATTCCTTGGGTCCTCAAGGCTGAATTTGTAATTCAAGGGCTATGTGGATGAACCCACTAGAGAACGAGGTCAGCCTCAGCCCGAAGGTCTCTATCTTTTACAGCTAGGGAATTTTTTCTTGAACTTGAATCTGTGTAAAGACTGCAGCTGGTGGTGGGTTCTAAAGCCTGTGTGAATCAAAGCTGTTATCTTCCTGCCAGTCAAGATCTGGCAGAAAAAGAAAGGTGGTTTTCTAAAGTTGAATGAGTTAGAAGGTGGGTGATAGCACTATTTTTGTTTGCTTTGTTTTGGGTTACTGGGGATTGAACCTAGGGCTTTCACACTGAACTAACTTACTTTCTTTCTTTTTCTCTCTCTTTCTTTCTCTCTTTCTTTCTCTCTCTTTCTTTCTTTCTTTCTTTCTTTCTTTCTTTCTTTCTTTCTTTCTTTCTTTCTTTCTTTCTTTCTTTCTTTCTTTCTTTTGAGACAGGGTCTTGCTAATTCATTAAATTGCAAAGGCTAGGCTCAATTTGTGAACCTCCTGTCTCAGCTTCTCAGAGTGCTAGAATTATAGGAGTGCACTACTATACCAGGCTAGAAAGTGCTGTTTAAAAATCAAAGATACCAGGACCGGTGTGGTGGACAAGAGGGTTGCTTTAAGTTTGAGGCCAATCTGGGCAACATAGTGAGTTCAAGGCCACCCTGAACTGCAGAGCAAGACCCTGTCTCAAAAAACCAACCAACCAACTAAACAAACAGAGAAACAAAAGCCAAAGACACAGGACATCATTCTCATTTGGAGCTGAGCAGAGCTGGCTCTTGTCTGAGTATAGCAAAGAGGGGGCTGCCTCCAGGGTGGACACTGATCCACCTGCAGCACCAAGCTATTATTCTGCACCCCTTTCTTAGGACTGATGTATGTGTGTGTGGGAAACAGGAGTTTGGAAATCAGATAAACTGGCTTCACACATCAGCTGTTACTACTACTAGCTCTGCAACTGTGGCCAGATGACAAAGATCTCTGAGCTTCTGCTGTCTTGAAAACGCCATGAGACAATTGATGTCTGACCTCTTACAAGGGAAACAACGAGGAGCAGATCCTCTGCTTCTTTTTCTTTCCCTCCTTGGAGGTCTCAGGCTTGTACTAAAACAGTACCTGACTGTGCAGCAAGGTTGGCTTCTGAGAACCCCAGCCTTTGGAACCAGGACTTTTAAAATAAAGTGTCAGCAGCCACTTAGGCTCCTACACAAATCTGTCTGCTTGCCACAGACTAAGTGAAAGGAAGCCAATATTTGGGTCAAAAGGAAAAAAAAGATTTATTTAAAGTTAGCTCTGGGGAGATGTAGGGGCCCATTAGCCTTAAATCACCATCTCCCTATATATAAGTGGGAATAGGTTTTTTATAATAAAATACAAAAAAGAGGGAAAAAAACACAAAGAGATAATGCAGATCTTTACACTTTATCATTTTTAGCCATTTTTAGCTCATCTTTCTCTTTCTTATAAAAAACAAACTGAGCTCCTTGCCTTCTGGGTCTGACAACTACATATTCTGTCAGTTTTGGGGGCTAAAACAAGGGAGGGTGTGGCTATATACTCAACAAAATGTTTAGAGTTCTACTTCACAGTGGCACTTACAAAACTACAGGTTAAAATTATTAATCAAAAGCTTTTCAATTTTTTTTCCAACTTTGAATCAGGCACTATTTGCATTCAGTCTAACCAAGAAAAACAATAAAGCTTATCTTTGATGCGATCTGATTCAGAGAACTTCTTATTTCCTTTTTGGGGATTGAATCCAGTCTTTAGCACTGAGCTACATCCTAAGCCCTTTTCCTTTTTCATTTTGAGACAAGTCTCTAAGATGCCCAGGCTGGACTCGAATTTGTAATAGCTAAAATTTGGAAACAGCCCAATTGGCTATCAACTGGAGACTGGATAAAGATTTTTTAAAAAATAAAATGGAGTATTACTTGGCCATAAATAACGAGAAACTAGAGATATTTATAGCTAACTGGAATGCACACTGAGGCCATACTCTTAAGTGAAATTAATAAGTCACACATGTGTAAATACCAAATAGTTTCTCTGGTGTGAAAAAGGAAAAGTGTAAATAAGGATAAAAATGTATAACTGATATTGTATAATAGGAAGAAAACATCTAAAAGAGTAGAGGAAGTGGGAGGGCAGGGGAAACGTAAGGGAAAAGAAAAATATGTGAAGAGGAAAAAATATGGAAATATGTCTTTGTAAACAGGGAAGGGTGGAGGGGGTGAAGGAAGGGCTGGGGAATGGGGAAAAATGAGAACCAAGATAAGTCATGTAGAGGTACAAGATCCCAATGATGAATGTAACTGCACTGTATACCTAAAATGTACCAATAAACTTAATAAAAAAATTTGTATCCTCCTGGCTTAGCCTGTTCATTTACACTTTACTTATTTATTTTTGGCTTTTTGAGACAAGGTCTTGCTCTGCAGTTCAGGCTGGCCTTGAACTCACTATTGTATATAGACCATGTGGGTCTCAGACCTGCAGTGAACCTCCTGCCTCAGCCTCCCAAGTGCTGGGATTCCAGGCATGAGTAACTAAAGCTGGCTCATTTACACTTAAATATCCATGTCTCACAAACCTCTGGCCACACCGATCACACAGTTATCACATTGAGCCCTTTGAAGAAACCCCAGCTAGAGGCAGTGCTGGGCAGCACACCTACCTGTATTGTCAAAAATGGTATCAATAAACGTGCAGTTCTTGAAGTAGGTGTTGACTGAAGTCACATCCTCAAACGTGCAGGATTTAAACACTGAATCTTTGAATGTTACAGATTTGAACTTGACCCCTAGGAATCTGTCCAACATAAATATAAAGTTTATGTGAACAACTTGTGTCCATTAGAGTTCAAAGCTATCAAACAGATTCAGAGTTGTGGTGCCATTCTGTAGACTTCCCTAACTATAAAGTACATGGGCTTTTGGGATTTCTAAATACTTTCCTTTCTCTTTTTTGCCTCAAAAATCCAGTCCTTTTCTGCAGCTTGGCTCAGTGTTATTTGCCATCAAGGAAGGACATGACCCTCAAGCACACTTAGCTTTCTGCCATGTTGGTAAAAGATTTTGTGGGCTGTGTGACTGGAGATAGAGAGACTGGTGATTACCTGTGGCTACTTATTTTTCAGTCCTATCCCCACAGATTTTCACATACGCCTTCATTTGAAAATACTCTATTTGGGGTGAATGGCTCTAACTTGTAGATATGTTTCTGCCTGAGCTATTTTTTTTTTTCAGTACTGGGGATGGAACCTAGGGCCTTGCACACTCTGCCACTGAGCCACTTCCTCAGACCCCTGAGCTTTTAATAAAAGTCTGTATCTTGTCCTTCATGGCAGTATAGGGAATTCCAGCTGTCATGAAGAGAGGGCATAGCAATTCTGCTTTATTTACATGAGGACTGCCTGCTTCCTGCTGGGAAAACCACAGGTCACACCCATTCCCAGGAATATGTTTCTTTCCATAGCCAGCAGACATTTCTTGAGACAAAGAGAATTACAAGAGTCCTGTTCTCTTTTGGAAATGTGTAGGATGATGAAAGCTGCTGGGGTGCATTTTGGGGTTCTAGGTGTCAAAAATGGAACAGCCATAATAGCTGTAATGACTTAGGAGAGTCTGTGATTCAGTCCCTGTGACATGGGTAAATATTCACTGATGGGCCTTGGTCGTCTATTGAGAGAGTGGGAATGGATCTTTACCCAGTCACTGAGAGGGAAATGCTTGCTCACCTGTGAAGGAGTTACACTAATGCCACGCTCATTAGGAACAGAAAGGGACTAATCCTTCTGGCAAGTGAGCCACTTCAAAGCAATCCACTAACTGCTGAATTCTTTCAAACTTACCCTCACCATAATGCCTGACTGCATCCATCAGTTAAGCATCCCATGACCTTGCAGGCCAACCAATTTTAAAAAATCATCTTGTCTCAAACTCCACTTTGGGGCTCCAGAGTAGAACCATCTAAATGCACCAAAGAAAGCTAGAACATGGCCCATTTAAAGAAAATTATAATTTTTTTGAAATGGGATTGAATTTGGAAAAGGAAAGCAATTTTAATTTTCTTCTTCTTTTTTTTTAAATTGAGGTAGTTGTTGTTTTGGGTGGGCAATAAAAATGCATGGTACAAAATTCAAAAGACTGAAGAAGGAAACAGTCCTCCAAGCCATTCAGTTCCTCTGCCTAGTGAGAGCCACAGGTGACCGGCCACATTTGGCTCTGTCTCTGTGGTCCACTGTGGACGGGTACCCATATCAGTGCAGGAAGGGCTGCTGTTGTACACGTGGCATGGGGAAGGTATTATAAAACAAATGAGTTGCCTTGTGGTATTTCAAATTTCCCTGAAGAATAGAACCTTCTTCTAGCATCTAAAAAGCAAATATACAACATGTATTTTACAAGGATTTCAATATAGTGCTATTAAATGATTAATCATTGAATCACTAAGGTAAAAACAATTCCAAGTGATCTCAGGCAATAGCTTAGAAATATAACAAATTGCTGAAACTATGACTGAGACACAAACATATTTTAGGACTATCTAATGGAGTAACAATTCCTTTTTAAATAAACAAAGTAAAAATTCACTCTAGAATTACACAACAAATTACAGAGAATTTGAACGCAAAGCTTTTGTAAGTTCAGATGTAAGCCAGGGTTTCAGGTGGGAGAGGGAAGCTGATCTTACCTGGTTTCCACTATGGTTAAGGCCCTCAATGAATCACTAATCAGAACAACTGACCACCTATGGTCAATTACATTGCATTACACAGGCCACAAACATCACAGAGTTCTTTTTCATCTTTTCAAACTGGTTTTTGCTTTGGGAAACTTTATTCAATTACTTTGGACTTCAGCTTTATCTTTTTTTTTTTTTTTTTTTTTTTTTTT